GTAAATGGAATATAATGTATTCAAAATACATATGGTAACAGACTGAGAACTGGAAGCAATCTCAGGGGTCATCTAGTACAAACCTCTCATTTTATAGATGATGAAACTGAAGCTCAGGAAAGTTTAATGATTCATTCAATGTCACTGAACAGTAAGCATTAGAGGCAGAACTGGAAACAAGGTCTTCTAGCTCCATAGCTTCAGATCTTTCCAAAGTACTATGCTGCCTCTATCATGAATTATAACTTAGCATCACTTTTCAATATTCTTTCTTCTTAGTTTACTTGATGGCCTTGACCAAATCATTTAATTTTTCCTCTCAATTGTAATGGAAGGTAAATAAATTATAATCTATATGATAATGTCCAGTATGTTATCTGTTGGGAAATTTCTTAAGCAGGAAGAAGTTGGCCCTCCTGGAGCTATTTTGCCTTCTAGAGGGTCTTCAAAACTAGAAGTCAAAGAAGGCAAGTAGCCAAACTCAACTGAAAAAGATTTATTAGTAGCACAGCAAGGAAGACAGTTAGTAGCAGCTTCCACATACAAGACTTCAGCCTTGGTTTAAATAACTTTTCAGAACTGCTAAGAGTACACAGGCAATCAGCAATTGAGGATAGCGGAAATTTAGGATAGATAAAAAATACTTTTCAAAAAAGAAAAAGAAGTACTGGAAGCGGGGGGATTGGGAAAAACAAGAAAAAACAGTCCCTATTCAAGAGCAGTAAAGAAGAGGTGACCAATACTTTTACAATAGCTAAAAAGAAGTCTGTTTGATCAAAGGCATGAGGGTTAAGGTAATTTTTATAGTGAAAGCTACAGGTATCCTCCTATCCAAGAATGATAAATTGCTTTTGTAATAAATGAAACCATTGTGCAATACTACGTCCCTGTATAGTTTATTTCTTCTTCTAACTCATAGGTCCAGTGCAAGCTTTGAAATAATCCTTTAGACTATTTGTATCTGGGGTGAGAGATGTACAAGTATACCTTAAATGCCACAAATTGGAACCTCTGTCTTATATTTAGCCTCTATATTTGTAGTCAATCTGAATGCCATGTATATACTCTTTCTGTACAGAGAACACGAGCAAATAAATAGTAATAGTTCCTATTTATGTAACACTATATAATTTACTGTCAAAAGACCATTGAGCCTATTTAGTAATTCTCCTACTTTTTGTCTTTCCTGTCTAACCATAATAACCATTCTTCTTTTTTTTAATTTTTTTATTAATTTATTTTATCAACAATCACTTCCATAAGCTTTTGAGTTTTAAATTTTTTCCCCTTCTTTCCCCCCTCCCTTCCCAAGATGGCTCACAATCTGATATAGGCTATACCTATATATTTCTATTAAACATATTTTCACATTAGTGATGTTGTAAGGAAGAATTAGAACCAATAAGAGAAAACAAAGCAAAACAGAAGAAAAAAAATAGCACATAGTATGCTTCAATCTGCATTCAAACTCCATAGTTCTTTCTTTGGATGTGGATGGTATTTTCTATCATGAGACCTTTGGAGGTGTCTTAGATCCTTGCATTGCTGAGAAGGGTTAAGTCTATCAAAGTTAGTCACTGCACAACGTGGCTGTTAGTGTGTACAACTTTCTCCTGGTTCTGCTCACTTCACTCAGCATCAGACCATACAAGTCTTTCCAGGTTTTTCTGAAGTCTGCCTGCTCATCATTTCTTATAGCACAATAATATTCCATTACATTCATATACCAAACTTGTTTAGCCATTCCCCAATTGATGGGCATCCCCTCAAAAATGACAGAGGATGGATGTGAATTCAGGTATTCCTGATCTGAATATGCACACAAACATACACATACCTACCTACTTGCCATGTCTATTGCAAGGGTCAACTGAGATAAAGTTTTCAAAAAACTGCTTACACTGCCTGGCACGTAGGTGACACCAAATCAGTGTTTATTCTCTTCCCTATTATTATCCCTATTTTAGGAAACTGAGGTCTTGCCAACTCCAGGCCCAGTGATTTACCCACTCATTGTACCACCAAGCTGTCTAGGTTGATTACAGGACTGGCATTCTGGCAGATCAGACTCCAGGAATTTTCACTGGCTTGTCCCCCATGCATGGAATGCTCTCCTTCCTCATTTCCACTTCCCACCTTTCCTGCCTTCCATCAAATCCCAGTTAAAATCTCATCTTTTATAAGAAGCCCTTCCTGATCCCCCATAATTGTAGGACCTTTTTTATTATCTCCAGTGTGTCCTACACCCATGATTACATTGTGAACTCCTTGAGAGCAGAGATTGTTTTTTGCCCTTCCTTGTATTCCCAATGCTTAGCACAGAGCTTGGCACATAACAGGCACTTAATAATTGTTTGTTGACTTTGTCGAGAAAACCCCAAATGGAGTCACAAAGAGTTGACAGGACTGAAACGACTGAACACAATAACGTGCCAGGCACTCTTCTAAACACTATATCTCAATTGATCCTTACAACAATCCTGTGATATATGTGCTGTTATTATCCCCATCTGAAAGCTAAGGAAATTGAGGCAGATAGAGGTTAAGTGATTTACCTGGAGTCATACAACTAGTAAGTAATCTGAGGCTGGGGTTTTGGGGGAGGGGAGACAGAGAGACAGAATCGAGAATATTAGGAAGCGAATGTACAGAAATGATAACTGAATCCTTGGGAATGTATGAGAATAACAAAGGAGAAAGTGTAGAAATGGGAGAGAAGTAAGCTGATGAGAGAGCTTGGGAATAATTGCACTTAGTAAATACATGACAATAAAATGGCAAAGGATACAAAGAAGAATGGTAATTAAGTCAAATTTATGTCATTTCCAGTAGATAAATGGTCAAAGGATATAAACAGGCAATTCTCAGATGAAGAAATTAAAGCCATCCATAGTCATATGAAAAAATGCTCTAAATCACTATTGATTAGAGAAATGCAAATCAAAACAGCTCTTAGATACCACATCATACCTATCAGATTGGCCAACATGACAAAACAGGAAAATGATAAGATGTTGGAGAAAATATGGGAAAATTGGAACACTAATGCATTGTTGGTGGAGTGTCGAAATGATCCAACCATTGTGGACAGCAATTTGGAACTATGCCCAAAGGGCTATAAAAATGTGCTTACCCTTTGATCCAGCAATAGCAGTTCTAGGGCTATATCCCAAAGAGATGATACAAATGGGAAAAGGACTCACATATACAAAAATATTTATAGCAGCTCTTTTTGTGGTGGCAAAGAATTGAAAATTGAGGGAACGTTCATCAATTGGGGGAATGGCTGAACAAGTTGTGGCATATAAGAAATGATGAGCAGGCAGACTTCAGAAAAACCTGAAAAGACTTGCATAGTCTGATGCTGAGTGAAGTGAGTAGAACCAGGAGAAAATTGTACACAATAACAGCCATGTTGTGCAATGACTAACTTTGATAGACTTAACCCTTCTCAGCAATGCAAGGATCTAAGACACCTCCAAAGGTCTCATGATAGAAAATACCATCCACATCCAAAGAAAGAACTATGGAGTTTGAATGCAGATTGAAGCATACTATGTGCTATTTTTTTTCTTCTGTTTTGCTTTGTTTTCTCTTATTGGTTCTAATTCTTCCTTACAACATCACTAATGTGAAAATATGTTTAATAGAAATATATAGGTATAGCCTATATCAGATTGTGAGCCATCTTGGGGAGGGAGGGGGGAAAGAAGGGGAAGAAAAATTAAAAACTCAAAAGCCTATGGAAGTGATTGTTGATAAATCAAAATAAATTAATAAAAAAAATTTTAAAAAAAGAAAAATAGTTATTATGGTTAGACAGAAAAGACAAAAACCAGGAGAATTACCGAATAGGCTTAATGGTCTTTTGATTGAATCCAATGTTCTTTCCACCACAGAAATGACTATTCAGGGATAATATCCATGCTAAACAATATTATAGTAGATAGAGAGTTAGATTTATAATCAGGAAACCCTGGGTTTAAATTTAGACTCTTGTCATTTACTAGCTACATGACATGTTGTGCCAAGTCATTTAATCTCTTAGATCCTCAGTTTCCTTATGTGTAAAACAGGGATTAATAAAACCTGTATCTGAATAGGGTTGTTGAAGTCCAAATGAGATATGGGTATGCAATACTACTTTGTAATAATAACAATGATATAATAGATAGCTAATTTTCATATAATACCTACTACATGCCAGGCACTGTGCTAAGCACTTTATAAATATATCTCATTATTGCTGTTGTTGTTCAGTCATTTTTCAGTCATGTCCAACTCTTCAGGATCCCATTTGGGGCTTTTGTGGCAAAGATACTGAAGTGGTTTGCCATTTCTTTCTCCAGTTCATTTTACAGAAAAGGAAATCGAGGCAAACAGGGTTGAGTGACTTGCCCAAGGTCACACAGCTAGTATCTGAGGCCAGATTTGAACTCAGGAAGATGAGTCATACTTACTTGAGGCCCAGCACTCTATCCACTATACCACCTAAGCTAAGATCATTAGATTTCATTAGATCCTTACAACAACCAAGGGAGGTTGGTGATATTATTATCCTCATCTTTACAAGCTGAGGATAACTGAGGCAAACAGAGGTTAAGTGGCTTGCCCAGGATCATACAGCTAATAAATGTCTGAGGCAAATGAATTCAGGGAAATCAAAGATTTTGCTTTGATGATAAAGTAATGATAGCATGAATTAGGACATGGACTCTGGAAATAGAGAGGCAATACTAAATTTTGGAGACACTAAGAAGGAAGAATAAACAGAAATGGATGACTGATGGCATGTAAGGTTTAAGATTTGATAAACTTATGACTATAATAATGAATTAGGTAACCAATAATTCTACATTTTCACTCCAGATCATCCTCTATATGTAACTCTGATGTGATTTCAAATAAAATCTCTCTCTTCATCTATTCAACATAACACAAACAAGTTTACTCCCCACAAAGTTAAAAGAACATTTTGGTAAAAGCTCTTTTCAGCCTACCTATGAGATCAGTTGGCCCAGTTCCTAAGTTTTCTCCTCTGATTGTAACCTTTGTCCATGAGATACCTTCATTTGGAGAGATGCCTGTTACAAGTGGGGGTTGTCGTGATCGAGACATGCTATAAGGGAACTTGTAATGAAGTTGTAGGTAGTAACCTGTTAAACAGAAACAAAATTAAGAGCAATTCAATGTACCGCGAAAGGGAAAAAATATTCAAAATATGTACATTCAACATGCAGAAGATAATTAAAGAAAGTGTTCTTGGTTGTCTAATGATCAAACAGTTAAGATTTGTTGCATAGCAATCTTATTCAAAGCACTTCATTAGACACTGACTATTACACATTGAATTTAAAACAAGTGCCCTATACTCAAGGAGTTTTCATTCCAATGGTACATGGGATATAAACAACATATATCACTACAGCAAAAACTGTCACAGATAATTTATGAATTGTGCTGTTTTTCTCAACCACTTTCAATTCGGCTTCCAACTGCATCATTCAACTGAAACCTCTTTCTCCAAAGTTTCCAGTGATCTCATAATTGTCAAATATTTGTCTTATTTCTCATCCTTCTTAATCTTTCTGCAGCATATGACACTTTTCACAACAATCCTGGGTATTTTCTCCTGTGTGGGTTTTTGTGACACTGTTCTAGAATAGTTGGTTCTCTTATTTACTTGTCTGAGGGTTTCATTTCAGGTTCCTTTGATAAATCAATCAATCAATCAATCAACAAGTATTTATTAAGCACTTAAGATGTGCCAGTCCCTGTACTAAAAGCTGGGGTTACAGAATCAAGGGCAGAGCCAAGATGGTGGAGTAAAAGCAGTGACTTGCTTGAGCTCTCCCCGAAACCCCTCCAAATACCTATAAAAAACAGCTCCAAATAAATTCTAAAACAGCAAAACCCGCAAAAAGACAGAGTGAAGCAAATTTCCAGCCCAACACAATCTGGATGATTGATCAAAAAGGTATATCGCACAAGTCAGGTAGTAGATCGCAGTTCGGCGTGGGCACACAAGCCACAGGGAATCTGGAGCAGGCCTCAGAGGACTGAATCTCGGGCAGCTGTGTGGTGGCTTCCAGACCTCTCAACTCACAAAAACTAAACTCAGAAGGTCAGTGAAAAGTCTGTTTCTGTGGTGAGAAAGCAGCTAGATCTCAGAGCCAGTTCCAGAGCGCAGAGCACTGAGCCCAGGCGCTGGGGTGGTGGCTGCATCCTGAGCTTCCAGGAAACGAGGGGCTGATCAGAGGGGGATTGCAGGGATCTCTTTGCCAGTGCTGAGGCAGGAATCTCTTGCTTTACCCACGCCTGGATCTGGGTCACAGTTCTGGGCAGAGTTCCTGGGGAGAGGAGGAGTGCTGGCGTGGTAGACCTTGTAGTGGCAGTGAAGAGAAAACCCTCCTCACAGTTCCAGGACAGAAAGGAGTGCTTGTGGTCACTAATAGACCAGAGCACAGGCCAGGAAAGGAGTAAACACCTCACCCCTTATCATACCACTTTGCAAGAACTGAAAATGTACAGGTTCCCACAAGTATCTCTGAAAACAGCTGAATAAACCCCCGAAGCTTGGGACGGTACCTTCTCCACACTGGAAGCTGACTCTTACCTTAACAAAGAGTTTAAAACTCAAGTAACTGGCTGGGATCATGAGCAAGCAGCGCAAAAAGAGTCATATTATATTTTCTTACTTTGGTGACAAAGAAGATCGAAATATATGACCAGAAGAAGACAACAAAGTCAAAGCTCCTACATCCAAAGCCTCTAAGAAAAATACGAATCAGTGCCAGGCCTTGGAAGAGCTCAAAAGGGATTTTGAGAAGCAAGTAAGAGAAGCAGAGGAAAAACTGGGAAGAGAAATGAGAGTGATGCAAGAAAATCATGAAAAACAAGTCAACAGCTTACTAAAGGAGACCCAAAAAAATACTGAAGAAAATAACACCTTAAAAAATAGCCTAACCCAAATGGCAAAAGAGGTCCAAAAAGCCAATGAGAAGAAAACCCTAAAAAGAAAAACTGGCCAAATGGAAAAGGAAGTCCAAAAGATTACTGAAGAAAATACTTCCTTAAAAATTACAATAGAGCAATTGGAAGACAGTGACTTTATGAGAAATCAAGACACTGTAAAACTAATCCAAAAGAATGAAAAAATAGAAGACAATGTGAAATATCTCACTGGAAAAACAACTGACCTGGAAAACAGATCCAGGAGAGAGAATTTAAAAATTATTGGACTATCTGAAAGTCATGATCAAAAAAAGAGCCTAGACATCATCTTTCAAGAAATTATCAAGGAAAACTGCCCTGACATTTTAGAACCAGAGGGCAAAATAGAAATTGAAAGAATCCACAGATATCCTCCTGAAAGAGATCCCCAAAGGAAAACTCCTAGGAATATTGTAGCCAAATTCCAGAGTTCCCAGGTCAAGGAGAAAATATTACAAGCAGCCAGAAAGAAACAATTCAAATAGTGTGCAAACACAGTCAGGATAACACAAGATTTAGCAGCTTCTACATTAAAGGACAGAAAGGCATGGAATACAATATTCCGGAAGGCAAAGGAGATAGGATTACAACCAAGAACCAGCAAAACTGAGTGAAATAGAGGACTTTCAAGCATTCTTGATGAAAAGACCAGAGCTGAATAGAAAATCTGACTTTCAAATACAGGACTCCAGTGGAACACGAAGAGGTAAACAGGAAAGAGAAATCATAAGAGACTTATTAAGGTTGAACTGTTTACATTCCTGCATGGAAAGATATTTGTAACTCATGAGAACTTTGTCAGTATTAGGGTAGTTGGAGGAAAAAAATTATACGTATGTATATATAGATAGATAGATAGATAGAGGGCACAGGGTGAATTGAAGATTAAGGGTCATATCTGGAGAATAAAATTAAGGGATGAGAGAGGATGATACTCTCAGAAGAAAGGGAGAGGTAGAAGGGGGTAAATTATCTCACAAAAAAAAACCAGATAAGAAAAGGCTCTTACAGTGGAGGGGAAATGGGGGAAGGTGAGAGGGAATGAGTGAATCTTATTCTCATAGGATTTGGCTTAAGGAGAGAATAACATACACATTCAATTGGGTATGGAAATCTGTCTTATCCTACAGGAAAATAGGGGGGGAAGGCGACAAGAGAGCAGGGGATGATAGAGGGGAGGGCAGATTGGGAAAGGGGGAAATCAGAAGCAAATACTTCTGAGCAGGGACAAGGTCAAAAGAAAGAATAGATTAAATGGGGGAGGCAGGACAGGATTAAGGGAAATAAGAGTTAGTTTTTCACAACATGTCTACTATGAAAGCGTTTTGCATAACTGCACATGTATAACCTTGTATGAGACTAGTGAAAGTTTCTCATGTAAGATGTGCTATGCTCCACAAATGTAGTAAGGCTTCAGAATGAGCTGAGCCTAAGTTTCACTTTCGTTTCTGGGGAAGGAGGTTATGCACCAGCTGCCCACCCCCCTCCCTTGTTTTGTAACCGCCCCTCTGTTGTTTTGTGCCTTAACTTTACCAAATAAGGCAATCCTCTAGCTCCCAAGCTAGTTTTGAGTAAAATGTATCTCTTGGGTTCTGAATATAGACTGTGAGGTCTCTTGCCTTAGCCAATGAGGATAAAGATATTGAGACAAACAGGTGGGGAGGGGGGCTTTTTGGAGTGGTTTGTCTAAGAGTATATATACTGCTTGCTGCTGTTTGTGCGCCGACTCTCTACACCAGTCTGCCCTGGGAATGAGACACCCAACTCTCCAACGAGACTTGCTAGAATAAAACCTTCTGTTTTCTACCTGGAGATACCTCTGAGTTTGTATATGCGTATGTGGTCACTATTCCACTCGGCCTATACTGAGTTGCTTGCCTTTTCAGTGAGGGTGTGTGGGGAGGGAGGAAGGGAGAAAATTTGGAACCCAAAGCTTTAAAAACACATGTTTAAAAAAAATGTTTTCACATGCAACTGGGAAATAAGAAATACAGGAAATGGGCTACAGCAGTCTATCCTGCCCTACAGGAAAATGGAAGGGGGTAAGAGAAGGTAGGGGAGAGACAGAAGAGAGGGCAGACTAGGGGAAGGGGTATTCAGAATGCATGCCATCCTGGGATGTGAGGAGGGGCAAGATGGGGTGAAAATTTGGAACTCAAAATCTTGTGGAAGTAAATGTTGAAAACTAAAAATAAATAAATTTATATTAAAAAAATAAGAATAAAGTTGGGGGTACAAAGAAAAAAAACAGTCCTGGGACTGAAGGAGTTTACCTTTTAATAAAGATACTATGCAAATAAATAGTACATATTCAAATCAATTCAATAAACATATATTAAGTACTATGTGCAAGGCATGGTGTTAAACACTGGGAATACAAGTAAGAAAGTCTGAAAGTTCCTGCCCCTCAAGGAGCTTACAATCTAAAGGAGGGAGGGGGAGACAACACACAAAAGGCAGGGGTTGGAAGGATGGAGCGCAGAAAGGGTTCCACGTTATATGGAGGGAAAACCAAGCAGAGGAGCTGATGGAAAATGGAGTTACCTAGAAAGTTTTGAAAATTCTGAGCCTCTACAGAGGAAGGCTTTGGGGGGAGTTTATTGCTCTGCTCTCCAGCCCTCCAATTAGATAAGTAACATATACATGGAAGATAAGCTAAGGGGGGAGGTTGTACCTGCTAGAGGGACCTGGAAAGGACAGCCACAGTTAATAAGCAAAACATGGATAAAGAATGATCAATGGAGGTTAAGGAGTAGTAGGGAGAGAGGTAGAAAGAGAGCTAAGAAAGAGCAATGTCACAGAAATACAAAGACAGTCGAGTAGGAGGAAGCAGTACAGACCAGATTGTGTATTCAATTATTCCAAGTAAGCTCAAGAAAGAACAATAGACCAAGTAGAAATGTAGAAATTCAAGGAGAAAACACAGCTGATCATTTCTGAAAAACTTAAGAATTCTGATCAATTCTATGATCATTCTCAATTCTAGAGAACAATGATGAAGGATGCCATCAACCTCCTAACAAACAGTTAATAAATTCAAAGTACAGAATGAGATGCATATATTTTCGAAAATATCCAAAGTAGAAATGTTTTTCTTGACTAGCATATTTGCTAGGAATGTTTTGGTTTTGTTTTTGTTTTTCCAACTGGGGTTGAGGAGAGA